GTGTCGGTTTTTTGTGACGATGTGCGCGCGCATCGTAAAAATTTACTCTCATCATTTTTCCCTAACGCGCCAAAAGAAGTATTACTTCAATATTTAAAAAGTATTTTACAATTTGTTATTTGATTCACATAATGACATTGTAACAATTTTTGCCAGTCACAAGTGAAATTTCTCTTTTTAGCTAGTTCCGGCCTTACAAATAGATGTAATCGTAGGAGGTTTAAAAAATATGCCCATTCATACATGGGAATTCAGATTACATGTTAATGAGATTGCGTTGCATATAACTGTGCGCAGACGCACATTAATTACTGTCATCGCTCATAAAGATCGTTAAAATAGATATTATTGAAATTACGTTACAAATAATACAGGTAAGTAATTCTAAAATGTCGTTGGTTTTTCTATACAGCCTACAGCCAAATTTAAATATTATTATTATAGGTGTCAGACATCCTATTAGAACGGTATCCTTCTGCCTACGTTCGCAATGAGCATTGCTCATTCAGTGAAGAAGATATCACGAAAGAAAGTCCTTACAGTTTTTTACACCTTTACAAACTTTTGTCGATTTTCGGGTCAGAAAGTAGCTCAGCAAGCGACTCTCATCCCTGTGGTCGTAGGTTCGATCCTCGGCTGGGCACTAATGGATTATTTATGTGCATTTAATATTCGCTCAAATGGGGAAGCAAAACATGGTAAGGAAACCGGCTTGCCTTAGACCCAAAATGTCGACGGCGTGTGTCAGGCACAGGAGGCTGATCACCTACTTGCCTGTTAGAATGACACATCATGAAACAGATACAGAAATCTGAGGCCCAGATCTAAAAATATTGTATTATTTATTTTATTTACATTATATTATATTATATTATATTATATTATATTATATTATATTATATTTTTATATTTTTTTTTTTTTATATTATATTATATTATATTATATTATATTATATTATATTATATTATATTATATTATATTATATTATATTATATTATATTATATTATATTATATTATATTATATTATATTATATTATATTATATTATATTATATTATATTATATTATATTATATTATATTATATTATATTATATTATATTATATTATATTATATTATATTATATTATATTATATTATATTATATAATATATTATATATATTTTTATATTAATTTATTATGCCTCTTTTCGGACATGACAGTATTTTTTTCTTTTTATTTTGTTCTTTTGTTCCACTTTTGCGTGTCCGTTTGCCAGGTGGCAAAGGCCTCCTCCAATCTTCTCCATTCTTTTTAATTTTTTCTTCATTACGTTGTTGTTGGTTTAATATTGGAGGGTTTCGGTCTAATTCCCCACGGGGACCAGCCGGGTTGGGGAATGTGTTTTTATTTTGCTGTTGTTGTTGTTTTTTTTCTGTTTCCGGTTAGTGCTTGTAATTTTATTTACATTATCATACTTAACTGTACGTCCAAGAACATTTTGTACTCGTAAAATCGTGAAACCATGACGTCAAGATTTGATCTCGTTCTCACGCTTACATTTTGGCAATTTTAGCACATCATTGTTATCTAATACATTAAACTTGCACAATGCAATTGCTTGGCCGAGATGACGCATTCACTTTTCTGCATTCGAATGCCATTTTACGGAATATTATAACGCTTACTTTCAAATATTGCGTATTTGCTTTAAAAATACGAATGGCTTTGTCACGTGATACGTCAATATGAGATGGTTCACGCTTGGTCACGTGACCACGCCTGTCTTAAAAAAAGTGTCATGTCAGAAGTGAAACTCCTTTGTAAATTAATTATTGAGTAATTAAGCTGCCAAAATCCCATAGTTCAATTTTGACAGTCTTTCTATATTAATAATGAATGATACTAAGGCTAATTAAAAACCAGAACTAAAATTAGAAGTTGTTATGTGCTCGTTGCGTGCTCGCTCGTATTTCTATACCACCGTATAGGCAGCGGCACGTAAGTCTAGTAACTATGGTATATATTGTAAATATGGTAACAAATTCATTACATATTATCATAATTGCTAACTTATGTCCTCTTTTTCAAAAATAGCCAACTGGGTCTTAGCAAAAAAGGTCTTGGTTCTGTTCTGTTCTGTGGAAACTATCTTATAAAAATACAAAACCAACAAAAAAACGGTAATTAATTACTTAATAAAATAATAATGATATGTATTAAAAACACTATCGGCGTTCAAGTATGAATAATTGTACCACAATATTATTTTAGCACACCTTTATTAAAGAAAAAAATATTGACAAAAAACGCTGCACATCTTCGTGACGTTCCGTAAAAATTTTACTCTGACGCGCCTAAAAAAGTTTCACTTCAAAAACCTCGACGATCATAGGTTTTCACTTATATTCAATTATTTAAACGTGGCGAGGCGTTTTCAAATAATGAATTTAATTGATATATGTATCGCGGGCTGACGAAAATATAATCAAAATCTAGACAATCTAGCGGTCTCGTCAGAGAGCTACTAAAGAACATTCCCTAAACTAATAGTCATTCAGTATTCAGAGACCAGTAGGTACTGTTGGATCGACAGAGCAATCCAATTGGCAGGTGATTGCACAGGAAGGGCTGGAAGATTCCTATTCGGAGGCAAGACACGGAGGCAAAACCAGCGGAGTAAGTAATACGCATTTAAGATAAAATTCTCCAAATATAAAACAAAAAAATCGAAGAAAAATATTTATCAATACTGTATTAAAAAAAACCTAGTCATAAATCTAGATCCTTTTCAAGCCCCATGGGGAACCCCACAACGCATATACAACTCATTCTTTGTAGTGTACCAATTAATTTCGCCAGCAAAAACCAAACAGTTAACGTAAAAATAACAAGTTAATATTTTCGTAATCACGATTTAAACTTCGATCCTCCTGATCTAAACACGGTAACTAGACAGTTAAAAATTAACTTGCATAACCCAAAATACGAATCATTTTGTGCTCCATTACGACTCAATTGAAGAACAATTGCTTTTGACATTGTCTAATTTACCTCCAATCGTTATCTGTAAACACATAACTAAAAATGAAAAGATTTTTTGCCACGATTGTTGAAATATGCAAATTGTGACTGCCCCTTGAGGGTCAAATACACGTCGAGGTGTTGAAAGTATTGTCATTGGTGTGTATTTAATACATTAATACTAATTTAAAAAACAGCTTTATCCGATTAAAATATTACAAAATTTTCAGTGGGCTTAAAAAAAATTAAATTAACAGTGCGTTTATTTTAGCGGTAATTTATTCTGGTGAAAACCATATTTAGAATATAAACTCGAATTTACAAAAATATAATAGTTTCATCATCGGTCGCCGAGGCTAAAGAAATCCCATCCGTATCTCGATGTCCATCATTCCACAACTGAGCGTTTTCTTAGGCACTATTTGCCGCGCACCACCACTATGTGTCACCAGCTGCTGATGTACCATTCAACCTTGGATCCTACTAGATAAGAGCGTACTCATTCTTTTAAGACCAGCAACTTACTTGCGAGCCTTCTGGCAATTTGAGTGTCCATAACATAACATCAAATTTGACTACAGTGGACCCCCGGTAATCCGGCATCCTCTGTAATCCGACACAGTCTAGAACACAATTATTTCCTAATGTAAAGTTATTGCATATTTATTGTAAGTATAGCATTAATGACGTTAATTTTATAATAAAACGTAAGCTCTCTATTGTGTTGTTTAATTTACTTAATTTGACATACATAATGAAGTATGATTTGTTCTTCAGAGTACTTAAATATAACATATAGAATCTTATCATTGGATTTGTCGCATTACACGGTATTCTTTTGTTAAAAAATCCGGACTATAGGGGGTCTTAGGCAGTACTCTATAATCACATACTAATTGCTTACAAATTCGATAGTCCGACTCTCCTCTGCAAAATGTTTGTCGACTTACCGGCGGGTCCACTGTATAAAAAAAACTTTCCAAATTGCCGAAATACCGTTTGACTATTAAAAATACCTACATCGCTTCAAGTGCCTTGACAATTTCCCCGAATTTTCCAGTTTTATATTTCTTCTTTTAGACAGAAAGAAATAGAAGCCTTTTCACAAAAATACTTTTTTCAAAGGTTTTTAACAACACAACACTTTGTTAGTGAATTTGTATTCACACAATAGAATTGGTGTATCGTTACGTTACGATAGTTTTATGTCTAAAGTTCTTATCTGCATATGTAATGGGCTTTTTATACATTTCAAATCATTTATACAAGTTTTGAAACAAAAGCCATTTTCTAGGACGAGATTGCGGAACGTTGTGTAATAAACTGGCCGTTGTTAAAATAAAAGAATTAACTTAAAAATACCATTTGTTATATAACATTTCCATTTGAGTATACTGGAATAAAAAATAATAATTTATGCGCTCTGCGTAGTATGAGATTCCATAGAGATACTTTAATAACCTAAATTTGAAAAATACATTTATATAAGTAACATTCAATTGTTTTCTATTCGAATTTATCATAAAGATATAATGAAAACATCAGTTATTTTTTATTCCGTTTATAACGTGGAATAAACGCTGTAGAAAGCTTGCAAGCGAACAGTGATTCTTTTAAAACACCAATAATAAAACTTTTAGAAGTACAAGTCTGCCAGCAAGAAAACATCCTTCACAAAGGTCGTAAAGGGCATAAATGCATATCGATGAACATCGAATTCATAAAATGGTTGAAATACACTCTGATTTCAATACCATGATTTTTAGTCGATCGGCATATAAATTGAGACTCAACGGGCATACGAAATATTTTGCGCCTTGCAGAAAATACTAGCAACATCATGTCATAAAGAATTGCCGTCAAATTAAGAAAGTTATTCATAAATCATTTCAAATAGTAACACGGTAACGGGATTTCAATTCAAGAACATGATTTTCACAGATATCATCTAGGGTGAAAAATTTGCTTAATTTTTACTATTGCCTTATCACTATCACTTACTGTCGCAGGAACCATATCGGAAGGCTGTTCATCGGCTCAAGCAAAGAGGGCGCGGTAGCGGGATGAAATTGTCGCAACACCCTTTTTATAACACGTTTAGTACAAGCCAGCAATAATACCATTGCCAAGACACAAACGCCTCCAAGAAGGGCCCAGAGTACCTATAACGGTTTATGTATGAAAACAAATGAAAATAGAAAAAACAATGATTAAAGATATACTTTATACCTACTTACATATGTAGTAATTGAAGCACGCTTTCCTATAGCTTGCAATGGATCTAGAAAGAACAAAATAAAAAAAATGAGGCAGTCCTTCGTTGTAGATTAAGGATATCGTAAATTCAACTGATCTTTATTCTTGAAGAAATGAGAGAGGGTGTAGAAAAACAGACTTAATTTAGTATTGAAAATAAATTATCTATTTAAATAAGTTTAGAACTGGAAACGATTTTTTTTAGTCCAGACAGGAGGCTCATCTGATGCTATGTGATACTGCCCGCCCATGGACACTCTCAATGTCAAAGGGCCTTTTAATTATTAGTATTATCTTTTCTCGAAGGATTTCTTGAAGGACCCGAAGTCGAATTGGTTCGGAAATACTTCAGTGGGCAGCTGGTTCCACATAGTGGTGAAGCGCGGCAAAAACTGCTTTAAAAAGCACTGTTGTATAACGACGGAGGTTGAAATTATACGTTTGGTATTTTGTATTCTGCCTAGACGTCTGATGATGAAACTCAGCTGCATGTATCTGAACAACTCCTCTGAACACTCTCCGAGGTAAATGCAGTAGAAGATGAAGAGAGACCCCACGCCCCTACGCAACGCCAAGGGATCAAGCCGGAAGTAACTGGATTTCGATGATTCGATTTTATTATATATGTATATCGATTACCTATCAATTGAGATATACTTACCATACGCTGTATCATTCCCTGCTGGTCCTAAACACCCTCGTTCATCCACAAGGCTTACTCGTGCAATCATTTTTACGTCCAGAACCAATTTCCGCGTTTGCTTATCGCTACGCCCGACGTTCCGCTCGTTTATGGGTAGGACCATCCAAAAGGGTCCTTCAGGAACGGCTACAAAGCCCGATGCCTCTTTACTTCTTGTTACGGTGTTTGAGAACCACGGCGACGGATGGGCGTCGGAAATCATCTGCTTACCTAAGCTGGTAAAATGTTTCGTATTTATAAGCGCGTCTTGGTTTAGGATAGTTGTGTTCATGTTAATGAATAGTTTATAATGATCACATTGGTAATTAATATTTGTGTGTAATGTTTAATGTATTTTATTTACATGTGAAACTTAATATGTATTTACGAACGAGATGCACGTCGCCATCAGCCGTCCTAATTTTAGTTTACTAGGCTCATTCAGCATTCTGATATGTTTCTCTAATGCCCTTTTGAATTGGTTAAACGCGCGAATATTACGAATTTTAGACGGTAATCGATTAAACAATTGCACACCTTCATACTTAATAGACTTTTTTAAACAATTTGTACGCCGCTTCGGCAAGATAAGCAAACTCGCTCGACGAGTATTGCGCGTAGTGGTGTGTTTGATTTTTTTAAAGATAAGCTACTATGGAGAGAGTATTTTTTTTTTAAATTAAAATACAGGTGCTATAAACATATAGTTGTTTAATTATAATTTAAGTAATCTGTGTATAATAAATAATAATAACAAAAAATAACTCGATTCTATTTAAAAAAATAACTGTAAATATGAACTTTGGTACAATAACTACGAATCACAATTTTTTGGTTCTTGCTTATGTTATATTATATTATAAAATTAGATTTATACAGGCTATGTGATACAGAAAAAACATATAAACATCTTTTATTATTCGATTGTTATATGTACCTACTATATAGTTCTCTCCGTGACGCATAAAACTATAGAATCGAACAACGCTAACCTCACATAATAAAACTGCTTTCTCAATTTAGGTGGAAGCCGTAAAGGTTCTTGTGGAGCTGGTAGAGACCAAGACACATTGACAAACAGGTCTCCCATTTTAGAGAAAAGCACTGCATCAACTTCAGGTCTTGGAAGCCGTGGTGCGTGTGCGCATGAGCATACACCCAGTACACATTCTGTGGACATATGTGAAATTTATAGTCAGTTTTTTGTACTCTGTAAAAAATATTTATTAATTTAATTTTGAGCAGTGTTGGCCAAGTGGCTTCAGCGTGCGACTCTCACTCCTGAGGTCGTAGTTTCGGTCCCCGGCTGTGCACCAATGGACTTTCTTTCTATGTGCGCATTTAACATGAACGAACGGTGAAGAAAAACATCGTGAGGAAACCGGCTTGCCTTGCACATGCACAGGAGGCTGATCACCTACTTGTCGATTAGATTAACAAAAAGTTTGAAACAGATACAGGAATCTGAGGCCCAGACCTAAAAAGGTAGCGCCACTGATTTTTTTAAATTTTGTATCCACCATTAAAGCATCTAAAGTAGTATAAAAGCGTTAGAATGAAGTTTTCCAAAAAAAAGAGAGATTGTTGTCCAGGGAAATGTCAAATATCTTTCTAGGTGCGTAATATACACTAATCCGTATTATGAAGGAAAATAACGTGAAGAAACCGGCATGTTTTGGAACCAAAAATGAATTATTATCAACGAAAAAAAACGCAGAAATATATTAGCTCCGCAGGGGCCATATTTCTACAAACATACAAAAGTTGCAGAGCTTGACAACTGATTTGTTTATATTTTGACAGCCATTTGGACAGTTTATTTCATTTAGTGGCGATGACGGCTGCTGAAATCTTTCGTGCATACAGCTTTCTAACTGGTAACACTGATCATGTAACCTGTTTTCATAGTTATTTTTACTATTATGGAGGCGGTAAAATTGTTCATGGTTTTTTTCGCAATGCGCGATACATTCCCCCGCTTCTAGCGTAAATAGACATAGACATACAATATTACTAACAAAAACACACACAAATAAACAAACAAAATAACAATAATCAAAGAAAAATATAAAATAAAAAATATAATGAGAGATATTAAAAAAAATCCCTTTTCCCATTCGGTTCGTTTCAAGATGTGTGTGCTGTGGTTGTAATTGGCCCTAGCTCAGCATTATGGTGAGGAACAGAATGTTCCACAGCGCTGGTCATTCTGTCAGAGACCATAGCAGCTATTTACGCCCCAGTCGCATTAAAAGAAAGAAAAGGTTGTAATAATACTTAGTAAAAGTTAGCAAAGTAAGTAATGAAGTTTAAGTAATATACAATTTTATCGATTAACCAATTAGCTTTAATTGTCTGGCACTCCCTAACCCATAGCCTTGACGTCAACCAAGTGTGATGTAGTTCTTCCCGTTGCCGCAAATCATGTCTCACCGTACGAAAACTCAATATTAAATCGTTAGTAGAACTTAGCTCGGTGTAAAATCTACAACAATTTAGCATTAAATCTGTATAAAGATGTTTATTTTGGTAGCCACCATAAAGGCGGCCATGAAATAGTAGTTGCGGTTTTATGGTAGAAAAATATGTCTAAAATATACGTGTTTATCTTGGTAGAGACCCAAACAAAGTTTCATTGATGATATTCAAACAACCAGTGGCACTAGAACTTCTAATTTCTGGCTCTCATATTATATTAGTAGCTTTAAGGTATATTTAATCATATACTTATAAAATTTACCCCCGCACACATATCACAAACACCAACCTTCCCTATTACCGCTAGCTTGCTATTAGGTCGTCCCCAAACTTCCCTTCCCTTACCAGAGATACAGCTCGCATCGAGGCGTAAAAACAGTAAACATATGTTGGGTCTGGAGTTTGGGGTCGAAAACATTTACTAATATCTGCCAATTATTAAGTGTATTATTGGTTTCATCATTGGACACGGAGTAACGGAGTACGGTTACTGAACCTACTATATTACATTAGACATCAAAGGTTGTATATCTATAATTTTTTGCCATTTCAAATGAAAGCAATGTATCTTTCATCTAAATGTATGTTTATCTATAGATCTTAGAGTTTATATGCATTCCTTAGACGCATCACGAGAGAGCAATAAATTTTATTCGCGGATGCGCGAAACACGTCTGTTTTAGAAATGAAAGAGGTGTATTAAAATAAATACTTGTAATTATTTAAAGAAAAAAATCTGTTTATGGGATGCCATGAATCATGTTCTTGGACGTCATTTAGACAAATCATTTATTACAAAACAATTCACACACATAAACACACAAAATAACAATAATCAAAGAAAAAAATAAATAAAAAATATTATGAGAGATATATAAAAAACATGGTGGGTATTGGGCATGGTGTGGCATAGGGCTCATGCCTCTGTTTAACTGACTTAAAAAAACAAAGGATGATGTTATCAACTCTAACAACAAATAACAAGTCTCAGCTACACTCTCACACATACACTCATACTTAATGACATATAAGACATAGTTGTAACACTAAAATTACTTTAAATAAAACTGTTTTGAACATGTACACTGTACCACGGAATAAGTGTTATCTAGTTCCCCACAACTTACTTGTGTCAGAACGAATAACGATATATATGAATTTTGTCTCAACACTGTTGTCATTTTATTATTATTATTTTTATCAATTCCTTGAGTCTATTTCTATTTAAGAAGACTCTCTTCTATGCTTGAAACTTTTAGGTATTTCTTCTTTTCTTCTTCTTTAATTCTTTCGGGTCTATGTCATGCCGGTTTCCTCACGGTTCCTTCACCATACCAGTGGTAATCTCAATTAACTCACACTACTCTACTCATAGCACAGCCGGAGTTAGAAAGCACGAATCGGACGCATACCTACTAACACTACTATAACTAAATTTATATTGGATAATAGATTTTCTAACAGTACATACCATCTAACTGCACGTTAACATTGGCAGATGTGTGGCCGTCCCATGGATGAGCGATGAGCTTCACACGGTATGAACAGCCAGGACGAACTGCACAGCCACCTGCTACGGGACTCGGCTCTGATGGGACCAAGGCCCATAAGGCATCCTGAGTGAGAGTGATAATTGTAAGAATAATCGAATAAAAATTAAACTCTCTTAATTATTTCTCGCTTTTTTTTAACATGCCAGTAAACTTATATATATATATTTATTTATGTATTTATTTATTTATTAACACTTCGTTGCATATACATTAATATAGTACAATTGACATGATTAAATAAAAAGGAGAGCAACTGGCGGCCTTATCGCTTTCGAGCGATCTCTTTCAGGCAACCACTGTGAGAAAAAAAAGCATTAAATTACATAAGATTGTTTAGAAAAAGAAACTAAACAGGAACAAAAAACAAACTAAACTAATAAAGAATACATGAGAAAAAATAATAATAATAAAAAGTGCACATGAATCATTAGAATTTAATTTCAGAATTTAATTTAAGATCAGTCTCACGACAGTTGGTACTTGGTAGGTCCCTATTATTAAAGTTAGGGATACGATGTGGACAGGTAATGTTTGTACAGAAGAAATTTAAAGGAAGATAGAGAAGGAACTAAGCGAATAGGGACTGGAAGTCAATTCCATAGCTTAACTGCAGAGACCTTAAAGGACTCGCCAAGAAAGGAGGAGTTATGACATGGGATTTCAAGGATATAGTTTTCGGAAGAGCGTAAGCTATAGTTATGGGATCCCAAAAGTTTGAAATCATTTTTGAGATAGGAAAATATATTATATATAATAGGTTGGGGAAAAAGTTTCTTCGCCTTTTTCAAGAAAATTCACAACATTTTTTAATATAGTTTATTTACATTTAACTAAAGTATGTAGGTATTATTTTGTTCGATAACTTTTTGCCATCTTGTAGGTAGGGATATGATCCCATTGCTATAGAAATTTTAAGGCTTCTGATCAAAATACCGCGACAATTGGTTTTGGCAGTCCTCTCGTGATGTTAACCTGATACTGCCTAAAGAATTCTGAAAAGACCGAAACCGGTGGAAATCTGAAGGTGCAAGGTCAGGTCTTTACGTCGGATGCATTAACACCTCCCAGGTGTTTTAAAATGTATCAAATTTCTTCATTAGAGTTCACAATCGATGGCAAAAAAAAATGAAAATCTTGACCATTTGTGCTACTCTAACGAAAATGCACTAGGTCTATAAATACCCAAATTTTTTTTTTTTTTGGGTGGGGGGTTTTTCTTTTTTTTGGAAAATTTTTAAAAAATTTCCAAATTTTTTTTTTAATTTCCTTTTTTTTTGGTGGTAGAAAAATAAATAAAAATCACACATTATCCTAATATGAATTTGGAATTATCTTCTCTAAAATCTCAACTTTCAATGATAACAAAAAGAGGCAAATACATATAGCATAGCCGAAGAGATTTTATTACAAGTTCATACATAGTATAATGCGAAAAGACTTTCTTCATGAAATTGGCGTTTTGTATGGGAGGAACAAAAAGTCGAATATTTTTAAATATAATATATTTAATTAATCAAAGTATGAACCATTGTTTTCTATGTACTTTTGCCATCTCATAGGTAGTTCATTGATCCCTTTACTAAAAAAACCAGTCGGACCCAATAAAATCTGTGAAGGCGATTTGGACTGCCCTATCAGAGTTAAATTTTTTCCCTTGCAAGAAGTTGTCCAAATTTCGAAAAAAATGGTAATCTGTTCGAGCAAGGTCCAGGGAGTACGGAGGATGTCTTAGACATTCCAATTGAAGCTCTTCTAATTTGGTAGCCGTCTGTTGTGCAGTGTGTGGTCTAGCGTTGTCTGGAAGTAGCAGTGGCGTGGAGCGATTGACCAGCCTAGGTTGTTTAGCCGATAGCTTTTCCATCATGGTTTGCAATTGCTGACAATAGACATCAGCCGTAATAGTCTGGCCAGATTTGAGAAAACTGCATCTAACAATACCGGCACTAGTCCACCAAACGCTTACAATTAACTTTTTTGGGGTTAATTCTCTTTTGCTTGGGGCAGGATTTGGCTGGCTGGCCAGGATCCAGCCATTGCGCTGAGCGCTTCCGATTATCGTAAAGAATCCATTTTTCATCACAGGTAATGATTCGTTTTAAAATACCTTCATTATTGTGCCGGTTCAGTAATGTAACGCAGCAGTCGACGCGCGCTTGCCGGTTTGCTTCAGTCAATTCGTGAGGTACCCATCTTTCAAGCTTTTTAATCTTCCCAATTTGCTTCATGTGAATTAAAACATATATTTTATCACTAACACCGTAGCCTGCAGCTAACTCGGACGTGGTTTGCGATGGATCCGCTTCCACAATAGCCTTCAATACTTCATTATCAACTTGGGTCTCAGGCCTTCCACGGGGCTTGTTCTGCAGGTCGAAATTTCCAGAACGAAAACGTTGGAACCAAAAACGAACTGTGTTTTCTTTTGCAACATGACCGCCATACACATCATTCACCCTTCGAGTCGTTTCCGCAGCACTAGTGCCACGGTGGAACTCGTACTCGTAAATAATGCGATACTTTAAGTTTTCCATTTTGTAAAATGAGTGACGCAAACAGAGAAAAACAAATGAATGACGGTCATCGAAGCACAAATACATGAGTAAATAGCTGTACAAATTTGAATTTGGAATTCCTTACCAAAGAGGAGAACATCGTGATTAAAGTGGCCAGTTCGAAATACGCCAATTTCATATGTAAGGACCTAATATATATAGAATATACATTGTATTCGTTTTTACAACAAACTCCCAAGCGAAATTAGAGAATCATCACTGAATAAATTCAAAGCTCACCTTAAACGTAAATTAATCAATAAAGCTTTTTATAAAATTGACGAATATTTAAATGATCCTAATCCTTGGGATTGATTTGCTCCAATTCAAACAAGTTGTATGAATCAAAACTTGATGATTAAAAAGAGTGGCGGAGACTTTCTTGCCAGTTCTTCTTGCCCACTCTACGCCCTTGACTTGCGAACTGGTAGTGTATGTAAAATAAGAAGCATTTAATATATATTTTTTTTCACGTCGATTTAGACTTTTGACTTGAATACCTACCCTAAGTCGAATTTGTAATAAGTGTCTTCCGTAATCTCTTAACACCTTGAAAATCTAATATACAAATGCATAGACTTGTCTAGTACCGGTATCTTACCCCGGGAATGTTGTACTCGTAGCAAAGTGTTGATCGACAGTCTACTGTGTTTCTGATACTGTCAACTTCCAACGAATAACTGCTCACTCGGGGACCTGAAATAAGGGAATTTTAGATTTCTGGACATTGTAAAATAACTTTTTTCTAAACTAGAACTAAATGTATGTATCTGAAGGCATTCCGAATATCGATTCAGTAGTTTTGTGTACACAAACAAATAAGCTTTCTATTCATGGATTTATTCATCAGATTATTTATTTCGATGGATTATTGTAATTTTTTTTTAGTTAGTAATTTATTATGCGTCCATCGTAAACGAATAAGCATCACAATACAGCAAGGAAATGCTTCCAGCGTTAGAAGTACACTGCCACAGGGAACAAACTTTTAAAATTTGTTTCAATTTTCTATTTATAAAATTTTAATTAGGTATTATTATTTTTATTTACTGTAAGCCGGAACTCCTTTGAATGGCGTCACTCGGAAAAAGCTCTGTGGGTGTCACTCACCTTCTGACGTTAGAGCCTATTTGTATCAAATAAAATCGGCATGCCAGCCAGACTATTCTCTGCTTTTGAACTTAACGCTATAATTACTCACTAAGTACAATCAATTACCCATAGGCGGGTCCCAGGTAACATTTAACATGACCTCATGGTCGGAGTTCTCCAACGGCAGGGGATATACAGCCAGTCCTCGGGGCAGTGCGGCATGACTGACAGGATACACATCTGGAGGTGTTGTATTCAATTCCTGCAATAGTAAAACATGACTTATTCAAAACATTATGCACCACCGTCTGTACCACAATAAGCGATGGTTCAAGAAAATAACAATCATAAAAGGCAACGCACTCACAAGCCTAAATAAATGTCTCCTTAAATCAGGTGAAAAAAATTCAGTCTTTAAAAGTAAAATTACTTTATTTCAAATTTTTCTGAAGAAGAATTTTTTTTAAGAATTTAAAAATATTTGAGACTTAAATTTAAACAAGTTATTTTATTAATTGAGAGCAGTGCAGGCTTCAGCGACTCTCATCCCTGAGGTCGTAGGTTTGATCCCCGGCTGTACATCAATGGACTCTGTCTATGTGCGCATTTTAACATTCGCTCAAATGGTGAATGAATCATCGTGAGGAAACCTGATTGCCTTAGAACCATCAAGTCGACAGTGTCTATCAGGCACAGGAGGCTGATCACCTACTTCTTTATTAGAAGAAATAAATCTGAGGCCTAGACCTCAAACGGTTGTATCGACGATGGTATGGTATCTTATAAATTTATTGATATAGGCAAATGTAACTTCAAATATATAGATAAGATTTTTTATAACTTAAATTGGCTGGTCTCAAATCGATTTTATTATACACGAGCTAACAACATTTCCCCCAGGCATTTTCCACTGTCATATGTGTGGACATGACAGCGACTCATTTTCCCATTTATTTAACGACGTCTTTCAGAAATAGGTCATAAAGCCACACATCAATGAGGCCAAAGTAATGTCCCTTTTTAGAAAATTGTAAAATGATATCGTGAATTTCAGTAAATTAAACTTTGGATAATGTTGGTAAGTGTATAACGATTCTACAAATACTCATATATTGTCGGTAGCACTAACACAACGTTTTTCATATGTGTGGGAATCACACTTTCAAGGTATAGGCTGTGAAATTTTGGCCGCCCTTGCCTCTACAATCATCATGTCCTAGAATATTTTTAGAATCCAATAATTTCGTCGTAATTATAGGTATAATAATATTTGGGTTTGATTTTTGAGCACAAAATTATACACAAACCATCCAGTTCGCAGCCTCCCACTAGTAGTAGGACTGACATGTATAGGTAGATATATAGATATAGTATAGGGGAAGAGAGAATTACAGTTTCTGCAATTCCGATCTTTTCATTCATACAAAGTCGCCGACCACCCAGCTGAAGGCGAAGAGGTCGATAACTGGTTGAGGGGTTGGGCAAAATTTGTTGCAGACTTCATATTCATCATACTGATCTGTAAAACAACACCGTCATGCAGAAATCTTTTTGATGAGGTATCAAAAAATATCGGTTCCCAAATTTGCCGCCCTAGGCTCCAGCCTACTCAGCCTGCTGGTAAATCCATCTCTTATTCATGCGAAAGTGGTTACAAATGCTAAAATCCAGGCATTCACTGCACAAACACCTGTATTACCTGGGTTACGGAACTTCTCCATGCCTCCTTCGCAAAATAAACCCACATACGCCAATGATGAAACTATGCGAAATATTCCAATAAACATAGAAAGTAAAATCTATAAAGAACTAGCTGATCCGGCAAACGTCATTTTGCCATGTATATCATTTATAATAAAAAATAGGGGTTGATCGTAGAGGGGTGAAAGTTAGGGGTTGTATGTATTTTTTTATGCTGTATCATAAAAAAATAATTATCTAAAAATTAAAAATAATAATTTAGGGGTGGACTACCCTTAACATTTAGGGGGATGAAAAATAGATGTTGTCCGATTCTCAGACATACACAATAAGCACACAAAATTTCATGAGAATCGGTCAAGCCGTTTCGGAGGAGTATGGCAACGAAAACTGTGACACGAGAATTTTATATATTAGATAATAACAGCGCTCAATAGCGTACGTATTTGACCACAAATGAAAGCGCGAACATTCATTTTTGTAACAAAATTTGATTAGTAAATTGTTCGAGCTGTCAAAACTGACATAATCGTATACGGAGAAAATATCGTAGATTTCGTGATAATTGTACGGATGTGCACTGACTGGATGTCTAATTTTACATTTATTTCTCCACTTAGATAATGGTCTACACGTGTGATTGTTATCATGGTCAATCACAATCCACTGGCGCTAACCAACGTTTTGTTTGTTACAGTCTATTTAGGTTCAGCCTTGCGATTCTGTAACTCACTCACTCATAAGGAGGAAGCTTGTAGTTTATTGTTTATCAGAATGCCAAATCGTAAAATGACTGCTTTACGACTGATTTGAGCGCGACCGCCGCTGTGAGAACCGCTGTGTGAGTTCGTAAAGTGAGTTACAGAATCGCAAGGCAGCTCCCTTCGACTGTTACGCTTAGCAACACATTTTGCGATTCATTTTTATTTATGGCTTGTTGGTTTGGTGCGCCTCTCAACCCTGAAATTTCTACAGTTGTACATTATTTCTATTACATTTAACACTCGCTTTTACGATGATTTAAAACATCGTGGGGAAACCGGCATGCCTTACAATGAACTGAGTGTCTGAAGCACAGAAGGATAAACCTGAACAAAATATAATATAAAAACAGGATTTTATGATGACTTCATCGATTACACTATGGTTTCAACCATACAAGGTTTTAGAAAGCAATTGAAGAAAAGTTTTTTTTTCTTGAATTGTTGCATCACCTGGTCACAAGGCTCGTACTACCCAAGCCTGACTTGAAACCAACGTTCCGGACTTTATAACAGCTGAAGACCGGCCGTCATCTAGCCCAGACCTCAACCCTTTTGACTTCAAACTTGCAGCAAGAAATGGCGAATTTTCCCGTGGAAACAGTGCGTAAATCCATAGATTCGTTTCCAAACTGATTTAAACCCTATATAACAGCCAAAGCTGGTCATTTCGAATAGGATATTTTTTTAAATTTTTGCAGAGACTTTAATAAATGTGTAGGTATATAATTTTTATAATATTACAGTATTTCATTTAAAAAATATGGATTTTATCTGTAAGAGAACTTATGGCTGGACTAGATAATCTACTAGTTTAATCTAAACTGCAGAGGACAAAAAAACTCCCGCCATACGAACACGTGATATTAAATACGGAACGATAAAGAGTAACGAAAGAATTTGAATGAAAATTTGAGCAACGTGGGTGTGTGGATCTATACGGAAGCACGAAAATACATTCCATTTGTTAATGAACTCGATATTGGCCTCCAACCGCGTGTTGTATTAACGCTTTATCATAATCATTAATCTGCAAGATTGTTTTGCTCTTATTATTAACTCTGATACTCGAGTTGTGCAACCTTACATTAGTTAAGTTACAATATATGTATATGTTTTAGTAAATAGAGGCGTAAACAAAATGTAGGTAAACAATCTTCGCACACTTGAAGCCAAAATGAGCCCTATAGTTTTTACCACACTTATAAATTGTATTTTAACATTCTGGTTTCCGATAATGTCCAATAACATAAGTGTCATTAGATTTATGAGACCTTAGAAAACCCTATTTTGTTTTTGTTGTTTGTTACCCCTAATGTTGTGTTGAACCTAATTTTGTGGTAAGCTCATATTTTAAAACTAAGAATTTTATTTGAACATACAAAAAACCGCCACCGAACTTAATTCTCGTTAATACAAATAAAATTAACTTTTCTCGTAACGCCCCCATAAGAAAAATTTGAGCCCAATATAATTTATTTTCTCAATTTGACATTTTTAATAAAGGGCATCCCACAAAAATTCTAATTTAAGTTAATAATAATACATTTAGTACTATCATTTTTACAAAAGCTGTTCGCTTATGTTCACAAATAAATAACTATAACCTTTATTATAACGAAATTTGTTTCTATTACAATTATATGTTTCTTCTGAATGTGCACAAGAAAATAATTGAAACATCGAAATTAATATGCACTTAAGTTAAAACAATAGTTACATACAGTGTAAACTCTTTATAACGATTTTAAGGGGCTGAGCGTTTTTCTTCGTTATAGAGTGTCCGTTATAGGTAGGGAAGAAATTTTTTTTCATCACCTACAATAATTTAATATATAATATAATATCAAATTGTATTACTATCAATAGGTAAACTGTTCTAAACACATATAAAACATAACGCTTTTCTTTTACTGGCCATCTTGACAGTTTCAAAGTTTGTTCACGACTGATAATACACGATAAGTGACGGTGGTGCGTTTAGTAACTGAGACCAATATCTCCTACAGGCAATGTAATCTAAAAATAATGGCACACATGTTAATGCAATTAACAATTACAAAGGCGAGACGACTGTTTATGACCTCGGGTGTCTTGCTTAGAAATTACACTTAAGTATGTTTTTGATGTCTAAATATGACAATATTTCTTCGTTATAGAGAGTGGTTTGTGTTATACCAAACAAATCTAACTATTTTTACGTTATAAAGAGTAATAACGACTGACATTATAAATAATTTACACTGTATTTAAACTCTACTCAGCACATTATTTTTTATTTATGCAGTATTTGTTTTTCTTTGATATTAATTCAAGTTTTTTCTTTGATATTATTCCAATCTACTACTCTTATCTACCAGACTCAGACTTAAGCCTATATAGTCTGTCTCACTCTAACGCGTACCGGCTGCACCGGCCGCGCTCAGGCTGCGTCACCAATCTCGTCAGAGAAATGGGAATCCGCAGTATGCGTTCTGTCCCACTCTAACGCGTATTTGCCGCACCTATATTACGTCATCGTGTTAGGTTTTTTTCGTTACGGAATTTCTTGATTCGGTCGCCGCGCTCAAAGCCCGCAATAAAATCTATGCAATAGCTTAAAAAATCGGTTTTTTATAAATACTCGATAAATTGAATAAAATCAACATTAATTGGTCCCTTTGGTAATTTGAAGTTGAAGGATAGTATCGTGCTCGCCAACATGCTAAATAATATTTTTTATTATATTACATTTAGAACTTAGCAAGCAGTATTGGCCTAGTGGCTTCAGCGACTCTTATCCCTGAGGTCATAGGTTCGATCTCCGGCTGTGCCTCATTTTCTTCCTATGTGCGCATTTAACATTCGCTCAAACGGTGAAGGAAAACATCGTAATGAAACCGACTTGCCTTAGACCCAAAAAGTCGACGGCTTGTGTCAGGCACAGGAGACTGATCACCGACTTTCCTATTAGATTGACTATTATTCATGAAACAGATTCAGAAATCTAAGGTTCTAAAATAACTGTAGTGCCACTGATTTATAGAACTTATATAAATTGTTTTAGCTAGTTTCGTTTATTATTATGTACTAAGTTAGCTGTGGATTAACAAATTGTCTTCTGGCTCTTCAGATAAATAAGTTAATTACAAACATGCGTTATTGATGAGTAATAGTTCTTCATGAGTGCACGTAGGCGTTAAGCAGTGAAGTTTATATTTAACTCTCACAAACATCCAGTGTTTAATTTATAAAAATTGACGATGAATATTTACGTAGTATCACTTCATGTTCTAGTGATTTGCGTAAGAATTTTTTTTACATAAAATTACCCGGATTAAATTTAACTTCATACTCACACATAGCCGGCATAACACTTATCATATAATTAAAAACCCGAGTAAATCCAATTATTAAAATAGTAGAATATAAAGCTTAGATTTATTGTTTACATTTTCGGTAGACATCCCTACTCATCGGCAAAGAAGACAGCGGGTGTAGGCCGAGAGAAAAAGCAGGCGTAAAAAACTCTCGGTACTCTTTTGAAATAGAAAATCATCATACAAAATGACTATGGCGAACAACACTTATTTTAAAACAAATATCGCAAATTAATTAGAAGTAGCCTGTCTAGCACTAGTCCCAGGCCCTTTTATCAACTAGATAATCGTTAACTTTATAGTTAGCCTTTTTACACAGCTTTTCTTTAATAAATTTCAAAAGAGTACCGAGCTTGCCTTTTAATAAATTTAAGAAATGTATTCTTAAATTTATTAAAAGGCAGAGATAAAAGAGCCTCTGGGATTTTATTAAAGAAAAGTATCCCTCTCCCCAAAGAAGAATTACTAACTTTAGATAGTCAAGTACGGGGAAATTGCAGCCTGCGTTTGTTCCGAGTATTAACATTAAGCCTATGTTCTGTTCTAGTAAACTTATTTTAAATACTCCACAAGCCCCGCGTCACTTTAATAAGTTGCCCCCTTGGTAGGTGAATGGATTTCCAAATAAATTAAAAAAAACTTAAAGCTTACTAAGAGTTAATACTGTAAAGCTTGAAAATAAAATAAAATAAGCAATTATGCTTCGCACTTTCAGGGTCTTAAGCTTTGTAATATATTTTTCAGTTCCATTTTCCGTAGGATATTTACACGGTTTTACGAACCGTGTTCGGTTTATCCTCAAGACTTTAATTTACAAATTCTTTGTACATCATATTTCTGATTACTTTGAAGATTCTGACAGTTTTATTGGTTTAAAAGCTCCTATTTATTTCCAGTATACTCGTATTACTCAACCTAACCTAACT